TTGTGTTGTTTTGTTTTTTTCTTTGAAATACTTGCAAAATAGGGGCAATAAAAGACATAATTTCAGACCAAGAGAAAGGAAGAATCAAATTGTTCTTGAATTAAGACCCATTGGTGACAATCATAAAGTCACGTGAGATACGTGAAGCGGGGCCTCCCTCTAAGTTAAGCTATTCATTATATTGCATTGCCTATGAATTGTGCCGGAGTAGTGGAGTCAGCACTAGTCCAAACATCAGGAGAATTTGTTTTTACTCTTGGCTGGGCTACTAACAAAGGGTGACACCTTGCTTGAGTGACTACACTCCTCAGGGTATTATTTGAAAGAGGTGCAGTGGGGGAGGGGTGGAGACCCTTTAGTTCTAAAGTTCTTGGACTATCATGTAGGCCTTGAGGAGATTGGGTTAAAAAGCTCCAACAGTGGCCGGGTGCGGTGGCTCATGCCTGTAATCCCAGCACTTTGGGAGGCCGGAAGCAGGCGGATCACCTGAGTTTAGGAGTTCAAGACCAGCCTGGCCAACATGGTGAAACCCCATCTCTACTAAATATACAAAAATTAGCTGGGCATGCTGGCGCGTGCCTGTAGTCCCAGCTACTTGGGAGACTGAGGCAGGAGAATCGCTTGAACCCGGGAGGCAGAGGTTGCAGTGAGCCAAGATTGCGCCACTGCACTCCAGCCTGGCGACAGAGCGAGACTCCGTCTCAAAAACAAACAAAGCTCCAACTGTATTTGCATTAGTTCCTTGAATAACCAAAACACTGGTGAGTCCCTGCTACTCCCCAAACCCATTGAGTTATCTTGATAATTTCCTGATCTCCTCATAGATTTAATATTTTTCATCCAAGGATGAAGGTCTGTAAAGTGACAGGACTAGATTTTAATGAGATCTTCAGAAAACGAAAATAAGTAGGTTGATGAAAAGATCCCTTTGGTTTTCCCCTTCTTCAGGACATTCTATATGGGTTCTGGGACCTCTTTTAAAAGTAAAGTATGTTTTGGCTTCTGTAGACCGTGCCAATGCTCATTCTTATTAAATTAACCCAAGGGGCCCTGGGAACCTGGTTTCTCTGTCCTCCTATTCACATCTGCCAGAGAAAGAAAATAGTTGTTCTGTATTATTTTGCCTCATTATTCTTTCCTTTTAATGAATGTCTTAGTTACATTCTATAGAATTGCTGAGAAGAGGCTTGCCCGGGTTAGCTTTGATAACGGAGGTGCATTGCAAGGCTTGGAGGAAACATGAGCTGGCACCAGACGCATCCTCTCCCTCAGTGTTGCCGCCAGTGTGAGTGGAAATAGAGTCACTGGTCACAAAAACTGTCCACCGTTATGGGGCTCAGCCTAGACTCCACTTAGGATTTGATATTCCCCAGAGAGAGGAATCGATTGGGTAGAGTTGGGTCTTTTTACTGTAGAGCTCAATGATTGAGTGGTTTAATGCCAGCCCCTTGCTGGCTCCCCATGGTCAGTCAGGTGGGGATCCCGACCCCAGACAGTCATGGCCAGGTTAGCACAGTTGGCTTCCTCAGACGTGTGCAGCATAAACCAAACCACCCTCATTCAGACCCTCTTTAGGGCTGCTTTCCTCAGAAAGGGACAGGGCATGTGGCTGGTTGGAGTTCACAGCCTCTTTGGTGTATTGAGTCATTGGCTCGGTCACTTTGAAAATCACACCAGAGCTGCAAGGACTGTTGGGAGCAGACTGCCTTGATGATAAGAGCATGAGAGAAGTAAAGATGCATTCTCTCAGGAGCAAAGCACCTCTGCTGACGCCCCACCAAGTGTTTAAGCCACAGCAGCCACTTCCTGAGTACACTGAGGTGGACCCTGGCCTGAGACAGTGGGACTGTGGTCAGTTGACTCTCTGAAATGTCAGGGGAGCTCCCTGTGCCAGGCCTGAGACTCCAGAGCAGTGTGTGGTGTGTGAAAGAGACCCTCTGGCTGAGGATTTCAGTCCAGTCTTTCTTTGGTGTGTAGCAGTGGCTCTCAACCCTAGGGTCACATCAGCACCACTTGAAATGTTTGTTAAAGCTACAGATTATTGGGCCTTACCTCTGACCCACTGTATTCATGTCTCTCAAGAGGTGGAGCCAAGGCAACTGTAGTTTTTTTAAAAAAAAACAACAACAACAAAACAAACACACAAAAAAACATGAACCAGACTTTTACTTCTGGGAAGACCAAGTAGATGCACTTTACCCTATTCCTCCTGCTAAGTACAGCTGAAAACCCTAGACATTATATATAAAATCAACATCCAAAGGTTCTGAGAGGTGGAGAGAGGGCAGCCTGGCTAGGAACCTAGGGACCTACAAACTACATAGTTGTGAATTCCCTGGGTTTCTTTCACCTCATACATCCCAGATGCAGAGCTGAAGAAGCTGGCAACTCACACATGCCAGTAGGAACAGGCATAAAAGCCCCAACAAAAGCCTGCTCTCTCCAGCCAAAGAGGAGAAAAGGAGCAGCACAACAAGGCAGAAAACTGTCCACAATAACCACTCTCTTCTAGCCAAACAATCCACGGAAGACCGGCCGCACCGCCACCCAGGCCCCTGTGACTGAGCCGGAGCCCAGGCTTCCACCCTTGTTGAGCTGTAATGAGGTGCCCCAACACCCCCTCCGGTGGTGCCACCAAAGGCTGAGAAGGGGGCCAGGCCCTTCTTCCCTGCCAGCTGGTAACGAGTGTCCCGCACCACCCTTCTCGCTCCCGTTTCCCATGGGGTGTCTGTGGAGAAGCTACACTTCTACCGCTGACCTGCAGTCATGAAGCCACTGACTGTGTATGTTGTCAGTGGATGCCATGTGGGAACTCCAAGGCACCCCTACCCCTAATTGGAAGCCCAGTGGGAACCTAGAACTCCCGCCCACACCCAGCAGTAATGAGGAGCTTGCTTCCCCTGTGTATCAGCAGAGGCCGAGTGGGAACCCAGCCTTAACTCCCTTCTGGGGGTAATAAGGTGGCATCCTACTCCTTCCCCTGTTTAGTATCACAGTAAGACAGTGAATACAGAAAGTTTAAATAACATCTAGAGTCTTACAATACTCAAAATGTCTAGGCTTCAATTGAAAATCACTCACTTTACCAGGAATGAGGAAAATCTCAATTTCTATGAAGAAAAGACAATCAATTGGTGCTAACACCAAGATAACAGAGATGTTAGAATTATCTGACAAAGATTTTGAGAGAGCCATCACAAAAATGCTTCCACGAGCAGCTATAAAAACTTTTAAAACAAATGAAAAAGTAGAGTCTCAGCAAAGAAAAAGAAACAACCAAATAGAGATATTAGAACTGAAAAATACAATAGCTAAAATAGACTCAATAGATGGACTCCAGAGCTTCATACACATTGCTAACTGCATTGAATTAAAAGTGCAGGTAGAATATGCGGTTATGGCTAGAGATGTGACTTAATTTAATATTTATGTTGTAAAGATTTTGCCCTGAGATCAAACCATCTTTTAAGCATATTATTATATTTTGCTGTTTGAAGGATTACTATGGAGAATGATGATATTGGATGTTTACAATATGCATGCAGGTATTTGGGCTTTAACTCTGAAAAATTTCAGTGCATCAGTTGGAAACCAGCCTAATGTGTGCTCATTATAAGGTCATTAAAAAAAGTGCTATAAACCAATCTGCTGGGTTAGGAGGAGTGTCATGGCTGGAACATTAAAAGGCTGCGTCTCTATACCATACTGATCAGGGATCCAGTTCATTTTACCAGGTTTGGCGGGGATCACTGTTAAGTAGAATACATACAAAGAAAATTCACTATGGTAGCAGGTAGTCGGGAAAACTTGTCTAGTGAGGGATGTTTACAAAACCTGGGATTATTTAGTATAAAGATGTTCTGGACTTGCTGTGTTTATGTATTTGAAGGGGTTCTTGCTTAGAAAAGAGATTAGTTTGTGTTGCTCCAAATAGGTAGTTCATATATTAAAATTTTATAGGGTAGTCAGTAGCAATTATAGGAAGGTATCTTTTTAAAAAAATATTTAGTTTTTGGCTATAACTGAAGTTTTGTTGTCTATAAAACAATGTTTGATATTGGATGTTTTTAAACCAGTCTAAAATCCACCTCTATGGATTGTATTGGTATTGAATCAAAATCAAAAGCAGGAATTAAATGTGTGTGTGTGTGTGTGCATGCACGCGTGCACTTATGGTGTTTGGGTAAAGCTGCTGACAATGCTTCTTCCTAATGTCACTGCAAGAGCCTGGACATGATCTCCACTAGTCCCAGGTGGGGGCCTAACAACCTCCAAAGCCCAGTATGTTTAGAGAGTGGCCACCCTGTGTATTATCTCTGAGAAATCCATATAGCTAAAAGCATTCAATTAATCCACTGTATACCCTTTGCCCTTTCCCCCTTCTTGAGTCCTTCTTTCATAAACGAATGTGTTCTTTCCTAATTTCCCTGGACAGCAAAGTCTCTCTGACAAAGGCCGATGAAGGTAGAGCAGGATTCTCTGTCTCTGCACCTGGAGGTTGGACCTGTGGGGGTGTCATTGGCCACTGACCCTAATGTCCCCCGACAATGGGGTGCTTCTCACCTCAGCAAGCATTGCAACTTTCCTCCAACTCCTCATCCCCAGCCTAGAGGGTCTCTTTTGTGTTCACCATAAGTTAGGTTTACAGCCAGAATGAATAGCCTCTTTGCGGTCACTCTGCAATTGTACCAATTAACCTACCTGGCTTATCTGGAGCTCCACACTACACCACCACTTCACCCTCTGTATTCCCTGAGGCCTTCTTGGCTTCTGCCTGCCCTCTGAGCCCTGGAGAGACATTCTCCTAAAGTGCTTGGAGGAAACTGATCAGACTAAACACTTGACATTTTCTACTCATCCTTTTGGAGCAATCAACTCCAGGCCTCTTAGAGGGAAAAAGTCAGGTCAGGAGCAAAATGCATGTGTTTGCATAAGTATGCATAGCTCAGTGTGTGCCCTGGTTCTGTAACTGAGGACAAGCCTAACTTATTCATTTACAGCTTCTTTTATTGCAGAAAAAGGAATGGACATGGGATGAGAGCAAGATGCTGGTGATGCAGGACCCTATCTACAGGTAAGATATCACTGAGCCCCAGAGTCCCCCTGCCCTCTCCTACAGCCAACCCTGTCAGGCTGGTGGATCCAGGCAAATTTAAATAAACTTCTGTGCTTTTCCCTCCTGAGACCTGTTGCTTCCATTAGATGTGAGTACAAGAAGTAAATCTGCCTTATCATTCTGGTCATGCTTGATTGCATTAAGGAAGCTATGGAGTATTTCTGCTTGATGTTTAATTTAAACCTCTCGGTTGTAATTGGAGACATTTTAAATTTGTGCTAGTGTTGTCCTAACTGAAATTCTAAAATTGCATATATATTGATCAAAATAAGAAAACTGGGTTATTCCATCACCCTATGCTAACAATTTCCCACAGTTATCTCTTCCACCTCTCTGCCCCTTCAGAAATTGAGCATAGTAATAAGAGCTTTGTGATCATGCAGGAAATTGAAAGTCACAAATGTATCTCCAGGTCTGAATGCTTTTGTCTCCCCAAAATTTGTATGTTGAAATCCTAACCCCCAAGATAGATGGAATTAGGAGTTCAGACCTTTGGAGGTGATTAAGTGATGAAGGTGGGGCCCTTATGTTTGGGATTAGTGAACTTACATTATAAAAAGAGGCCCCAGAAAACTAGCTAGCCCCATGGTGATGTCCTTCCCCTATGGGAAGACACAGCTGAAGGCGGGCCCTCACTAGATGCCAAGTCTGCCAGCACCTTAATCTTAAACTTCCCAGCCTCCAGTACTGTGAAAAATAAACTGTTATTTATAAGCCAGCCAGTTTCTGGTATTTTATTATAGTAGACCGGACTGAGACACACCCAGAAATTGCTTTTACAAGGAGACTGATTCCTCTAGAGATTAGATGGCTGCCAGCCATGTGTATTGTCCTGGGCAGAAGAATATCATATAGCAAGAACATATAGAAAGCCAGGCTCTCCCAGGAACCATGGCAGGAGCTCGAGTCATGGGTGTCATTCTTGTATGCTGGATCTCTGCAGACCAAGCCCCACCTCCTTCCTGTTTTCCTCATTGGAAGAATGGCCATTTCTTTAGGAATTTGGGGACCTAGATTTAGGTTTTGATTTTGTCTGCTTTCAAATTATTGCCATGCTTTTGTTGACAAAGTGGATAAGGGTTGGAACTCAACGTATGAAGTTGGCAGCATGATGGCCCTGCCTTTTAAAGAGCAGATGCTTGTGAAATGGAATGTCCATTCATCCAAACAATGTGCAGGTGTGAAATACTCATGCCAGGTACTGTGCTGGGTAATTTTATAGATTACTAAACTAAATGAGTTGCAGTCCCTTGTTCTCAGGGAGTTTTGGACTAGTGGGAAATGGACAAGTCAATGAGGTATAAGATAGTATGTCTGACAAAATGAATTTATCCCCCTGTGTTCCTGTAGTACTGTTTAATGTTTTTTGAAATAGTTGTTATAGTGTTTCTGTTACTTTCTTAAAAAACAAATGTCAGTTTTTTGCCACTAGCCTGTTAGGCTCTTGAGGGAAAAATCTATGCCCTTCTACTCACTTTTGTATACCTAGCGCCACACCTGTGTCTGGCCCAAATGAAGCACTTAATATATGTGCAATGGGTGAATGGATAAATGCATTGAATTAATATCTGAAAATTAAGTGTTATGGTGATTCACCGAAGGGAACAATTACCTTCTACTTGAGTGATGAGAAAAGGCTTTAAGAAACAGATTACATCAGAAGCTGCCTTGAAGAATGTGAATGGACAGGTGTCTATGATATGCATTTTGTAAAAGGAAGAGTTTCTTGGCTTTATTTTTTTAATGCTGGCACCGTATATGGACAAAAGTGACCTCCTTATGGATGCTGATCATGAGTCTGAGTTCTGCCTTTTGCCGGTTGAAAGAAAGGAGTTTCCCCAAAGTTTTCACATATCCCAAGTAAGCTGCTGACTTTGCTTATTTTTAGCAGCTTCATTGAGGTATAATTGGTATGCAAAAATCAAACATATTTAAAGTTGAATAATTTGGTGAATAACTCTCAGTCAAGATGGTGAACATATCTATCACCTCAAAAGTTTCCTTGTGCTTTTTTGTAACCCTTCCCTCCTCATTTCTCTCCCATTTCATCCCCAATCTCAATGCCCACATTCCCAAGCTACCACTGATCTCCTTTCTGTTATTGATGAGTTTGCATTTTCTAGAATTTTGTATAAATAGAATCAACAGTATATCCTCTTTTTTGGGAGGAGCTGGCTTCTTCCACTCAGCATAATTTATTTTGAGATTCATTCTTTATCATTGCATGTATCAGCAGTTCATCCCTTGTTATTACGGAACAGTGATCTGTTTTATAGGTATATCACAGCTTGCCTAGCCATTCATGTGTTCATGGACATTCTGATAGTTTCCGGTTTGGGGCTATTACTATTAAAGCATCTATGAATGTTTGTGTAATGGACATTTGTTCATTATGTTCAAGTCTTTGCGTGGACATACGCTTTTATTTTTCTTGGGTAAATACTCAGGAACAGAGTGGCTGAGTCATATGGTAGGTATACATTTAACTTTTAAAGACATTGCCAGATTGCTTTCTAAAGGGATACCACTGGTGATATACAAGAGTCCCAATTCCTCCGTATCTGCCAACATCCAGAATTGTCAGTCCTTTTAATTTTAGCCCTTCCAATATGTGTTTATTAATATCTCATTGTGGTTTTAATTTACTTTTTCCTAATGACTAATATTAAATATCATCTTTTTGTTTGTTTTGAGGCAGGGTCTTACTCTGTCACCCAAGCTAGAGTACCAGTGGTGTAATCACAGCTCACTGCAGCCTCAACCTTCTGGGCTCAAGCAATTCCCTCACCTCAGCCTTCTGAGTAGCTGGTACTACAGATGTGTACCATCACACCCAGCTAATTTTTAAATTTTTTGTAGAGACAGGGTCTCACTGTGTTGCGCAGGCTAGTCTTGAACTGTTGAACTCAAGTGAACCTTCCACCTCAACCTCCCATAGTGCTGGAAATATAGACGTGAGCCACTGCACTCAGCCTTCTCTTGATCTTACATGGCATTTGTATATATATATTTTAAGCATCTGTTCAAATCTTTAGCCCATTTTGTTTTCATAATCTTGAAAGTTCTTTGTAAATTATGGATATAATACTTTTTATCAAATATATGATTTACAAACATTTCCTCCAAGTCTGGCTTGTCTTTTTTTTTTTTTTTTTTTTAGTAGTGTCTTTTAAAGAGCAAAAGTTTTAAATTCTGATGGAGTCCGGTTTGTCAATTTTTAAAATTTTATTGATTGTGCTTTTTAGTGTCATAGCTAAGAAATCTGTATGTAAATCAAGGTCACAAAGATTTTTCTGTTCTCTTCTACAGCATGAAGTTTAAATTTAGGTTTTATGTTTATGTGTATGATCCAATTTGATTCCATTTTTTATATGGTATGAGGAATGGATTAAAGTTCTCCTTCTCCTCCTCCCCCTCTTCCTTCTCTTCTTCCTTCTCCCTGTTCCTCTCTCTTTCCCTCCCTCTCTGCAAATGGATGTCCAGTTGTTCTAGCCCTATTTGTTGAAAAGACTGTTCTTTCTCCACTATAGTGCCTTTGCTAAACATCAGTTATCCATATCTGTGAAGTTTATTTCTGGACTCTTTATTCTGTTCTATTTGTCTAATTGTCTGTCTTGACACTAGTACCATGCTGTCTTGATTACCATAGTTTAATAATTCTTGAAATCAGGTAGTAAGAGTCTTTTTTTCTTTTTTAAAAAAGTTGTTTTTATTCAATTAGTATTAGTATTAGTATTAGTATGTCTTTTTCCATCCATTCATTTTTAAGAAGAAATATTAGGGGGGACGGGGAAAGCCAAATACATTTTAAATGTTAAATGAATTTTTCTCTGGCCTCAAAACTCACACAGTAGGCTCTCTGATTGTTGATAGTCTTGTGGATGTCTTTCTAGTCTATCAAAATTTAGCAACTTGTGTTTAAAAACAAAGAAATAAACTTTAGCCACTGTGTTTTCAGTGTCCTGGGTACTTTTTAAAATATATTAAATTGTGATGTTTTGGTCTGTGTACATGTGAATTTTTCTCTCTCTCTCTCTCTCTCTCTCTCTCTCTCTCTCTGTGTGTGTGTGTGTGTGTGTGTATGAGGACTTTTTTCTAAAATGTATATGGTCCATTTTATCATGAACAAGGATATTTATTATCATGATAATATGGTAACATTTACAAACGAGCTTTTCATGGGTACAGTTATTTTTCTGCCCTTAAGGGACCACTCTGGTTTGATTCACTAGCTCTGCTGAAGAATACATATAATTGTTTATGGCTTCATGAAACACTGGCTTACTGAAGTGTTCACTTTAGACGAATGAATTTTTTATTTTTTGTTAAGTCAAAATTTTTATTTAAATCTTTTGCATTATTCATATAGAATAACAGAATCATGTATTTTTTAATTGTGGTGAAATAAATATATATAACATAAATTTTGCCATTTTCACCATTTTTTAAGTGTACAAATCAGTGGCATTAATTACATTGATAGTCCTATGCACCCATCGCCACTATCTGTTTCCAAAACTTTTTTATCACTCCAAACAGAAACTCCATGCCCATTAAGCAGTAACTTCCCATCACCCCCTTCTCTTAGCCTCGGTCACCTCTAACATCATGGAATCTTAAGAGGTTAACAACACTATAGTGGACATCTGAACCAATTTCTCTTTTTTTTTTTTTCAGTTTATCCTTTATTACAGTATACCTCTTTATCACAGGAAGTGATTCACTATTACAGTGTTCTTCATTAAGCAAAAGTAAATTTTTTATATATATAATTGTTTTCCATGTATCCTAGCTCTTATCTCTGGAGCCACAAATATATAGATCTTATTTCTCTTTTAAGTTAACCCAAGTTCTTGAAGCCATTCTTACTGTATTTTTCTAGACTTATTAATTTCATAAAACAGTATTTCCTCTTTAAAATGTTAGAGTTTAATAGAATATCCCAGATATTCTGTCTT